CACGAGCTCATACAAGTTATAACCATGCACATCCAGATGTTATGAAGTTTGATTCCAAGACGCGTCAAGTAGCGGTATGAAGTTTGATTACAAAATGCATTAGAATTTAGAACACGTGAGGATCGTTCAACAAATCAATAAAATGAGCTGCAAATCGTTCAGTTGACTGCACAAGTCGTTGTACGTTTAGTTACAACGCACCTGGACATTTTTTTAGTCTATATTTGCATTTATACTTAATATTAAAGTCCAAAAGTTATTCTTCTGATCCGTGTCAACGAAATCAAGCTTTGAAACCACCTCAGGAGGTTATTTTGATGATTTTCAGTAGTTTAAGGTTAAAATACCTGATTTTATAGGGGGATGGGTTAAAATAGACGATCACCAATAGTTACGGTTTAATTAGATTTTTTTCTCTTAAATGTGCTAGAATTCACATCCTCCATAAATTCTTTTCCAAAGGGGTTTCCTGCATGAATGAATCCCAAAGGTTCTGTGATTCCCAAACGATGCTTGACGTATATATAGAAAGTAAAATTACACAACTTTTATGTCCTTCATTCAAGGTGTACTTAATAATGCAACGGGTTCATCCTTGGGGGGTAAATATATAAGAAAAGATTATTGCTACTAGCAAAGTTAATTCCACAGTTCTTCACAAAACGATGTCTTATTTTTATGATAAGAACAAACAGCGTACTTTGATCTTTTGTGCTTGGCGTGCGTGCATGTGTGCGCGCCGCGGTCTGCGGCTGCGCGTACTTCGATCCGCAAGACCGCGGAAAGTGATGCTGGTGGGGCACTGTGTTTGTGTCGCCGGCTTGAAGCGCGTATACATGTTGAACGACGGTGATGTTGTGATAGCGCCATGGCCGTGTACAAGAGGTAGGGGTGTCTCTCTCTCTCTCTCTCTCTCTCTCTCTCTCTATATATATATATATATATATATATATATATATATATATATATATATATATATACTGTTTTATAGCTGGCCATACAATAACTTATTCTGTGGTCACTCTGAGTTACGATAGTTACTATGCTAATTTACGAGACTAGAGCAACTCCTTAATAAGTGATTTACTATAATATTATGGTAAATATCACCGTAAGTTGTAGTAACACGAGTATCGTAAATGCATATTCATGTTATCGTAAATTGGTACAAACATTATCGTAAATAAAGGTGGCTATAGAATAAATTATTCTATGGCCTGCAGAATAGCCTTATCCCCCCCTCTCTCTATATATTAGTTACTCCGGTGGAAGTAACTACTAAATTTTTTCTATTTTCAGGGAGTAGGTCTACATGTATGTGTGCGTTCTCTCGTCAGATTGATTAGCGGGTTACCTGAGCGCAATCAGTCCTATTTTTTAGTCCCTTTTGAATATAAAAATATTAGATCCAACCGAAATCCTCATTTGCGGTATACACGCACGGCGCAACCTGGAACCCGGCGAGGGGCAGCGGGCTCCCGCGGCGGCATCGCCGCAAGGGCACTCCGTCGGCGTGGCCATCCCCGCGCGCACGGCACCCCATAGCGGCGGTGCGGCCCTCCCAGCGCGCACGGCACCCCATAGCGGCGGTGCGGCCCTCCCAGTGCCGCCAGCTCGTGCGGTAGGCATCCCTGGCGGCGGCGCCCCGACCGCACGGCGCCCCACGACTGCGGCGCTCACGGCCAGCCCTGCGAAGACATCGTTCCTTGGCGGCGGCGGGCTCCCTCCCCTACATCCGGCCGCGGCACGGCCATCCCGCATGGCGGCCCCTTGAGGCGGCGCGGCCCCACACCACAGCTGCGCGACCGGCGGCGAGCCCCCTCTCCCCACCCCTGGCGCGGCGGATCTAGAGCAGACGGGGGGCGTGAAGGTGCTTCAATGGCGCCTCCTTCCTCCGCGCATAAACGGTAGATCCGACGGCTTGGAGTATCGAAGACGGAGGGCGGGCGGTGTCATGCCCCTGCGCGGAGCCGCGGATGGCGGCCGGCACGCGGTCGCGCTGTGCTTTCCTGGTGCCTGCGGTAGTTGGTGATGGTGGCCGGCAGCCTGCACGGTGGCGGGCTGGGAGTGCTGCGGATGACGGCCGGCGCAGGTCCGCCCCTGTCAACAGGTATATCAGCACACTAGTTTCTTGTTTTTTTTTTCTGATGAGTTTTTTTTCTCGATCTCCTTGTCACGCATCTGCTATCGTGAAACAGTCTGGTGATGATCGCGATCCAGATATTTTCAACCGAGTAGCGCGTGCGTTCATCTTCGTCAATTTAATCGGCACATTTGACCCGCCGCCTCGCCGGGGTGGACGAACTGCCCTGCTCATCTCCAACCCGTCACGCAGTTCATCCGGCAAGTAAACGCGGTGACTAGGTAATTTCCTTTGCCTCCGAATCTTCTCAAATCACCCCTATGATATTATATGCGCATGCCTGCTCTGATCCTTTTACCACAGTAGTATATCCAAATACTCCATCTGAAGCCGCCAACTTGTACCCGGCAGTTCAACAGCAGAGCGAGACAGGAGCAATGGCGCCTGCAATTCCATGGTTCTGTTCTCCGGATGAGAGTATCATCTGATACTTTTTAGACTAGAGTATCCTTGATACTTCTTCAGATTACATTAGATCTAGCGTCACTTCATGATTTTTTTGATGTCGTGGTACAGTTGATACAAATTTCTTTTTTAGAAAGAGGGAGGAGACTACTCCAATCTAATGGTATGAAAATGTAATCCTTTTTAAAAGTATGTATATATACTCCTTATAAAAAAAATATGAATATATACTCCTTTCATGAAAAAAGTATGCATATATACTCTATTTAAAAAAAGTATGAATACGTACTCCTTATATCATGAAAATAAAGTACGAATACATACTTGAAAATAAAGTATGAATACATACTTTATTATGCGTAAGCCCGCACATACCTACTTTAGTATATGTATACATACATACTCTAAAAGGTTACGTATCTGAGCATACCCACCAGCGGCATCTGGAACATGCAGAGCCACGTGCCATATGTATATTTGAATTTTTTTTAAACGCAGCCATCGGCCGAAGTTCACGCAACAGATTCAATATTTATTAACGGGCCGGGTTTGCCACTTGATATACTTGATCCGCAAACCTCATGAGGATAAGCTATCGCACGTTAGTTAGATAGAGGGAGTATTTACTCTTGATCCGCAAACCTCACTTTTTCTGGAAGTCAAATAAGGTTTTACTTGGATTCACTGTCTACTAATAGTTAGCTGACTAATAGCTCATATTTAATATTAGCTAGCTGACTATTAGCTATATATTATTAGCTAGTGGAGAGTGTTTGGATGTACAAATAATGAAAAATGCGACTAAGATAAATATTAGCTGCTATTATCTCATTTGGTCCAACTAATGAGTTATTATCTAGAGGTCCAGCTAACAATTAGCTATTTTATTAGCTACATCTGTTTGATCCAAAAGAGATAATTATTAGCAGTAGCTATTGTCTATAGGGGTCAAATATGCCTAATTATTTTAAATTTAATCAAATATATATAGAAAAATACGTATTTATAGTACCAAATAAGTACTATTAGATTAATTATATAATAATAATATATTTATAGTATATGTATTTAAAGTTATAAATAGTAATAATATTTTTTTATAATAAATCAAGTTAAACTTATGTTTGTTTCTAGCATTGTATATATCATTTTGGCACGGAACAGCAGTACTAACTTACTGGAAAATCATATCCTAAAGATTCGTACAGACTCGGAGCGTGTCATGTCATGTGTAGGATAGCTTGGTTTGGCCGTAGGATCTGTATCAGCTTCGATGATAGTGAGTCATGTTTCATCCGTCAGCAAGAACGACCGTATCTATAAGTGATCTGTTCGTTGGTTGGTTTTAAACCGGATTAATATTAATTTGGTGTGAGAAAAAAATACGGCTGACTGATATACGATCGAGGCAGCACCGTACCAGCTCAACTAGAGTCAAGTGCTGATGACGTCTTCAACAGCTTTTTCCCTTCTGTTAGACTGTCACTATTAGTAAAATATTAAATATACTAGGGTTTCGTATAAAAAAAACAGTTGTCACGCTTCGAGAATAAAATGCTTTTTCATATTTGATTAAAATTTTAGAAAAAAATATTAACACTTATAATGTATATTATTATTAGATCATTTATAAAATATATTTTTCTAATCAATTGTTTTGAAGACATAAATGTGAAAACTATTTGTTTTGAACTTGGTTAACTTAAACCATTTTAACAGGCACGGATACCTTAAATGTATTTTTAGGGATGGAGGTAATACTTCCTTTATTTTTTTAAAAAATTAAAAATGAAGCACACTATTATTTGCAAAAGATTTTGTACTACTTCAGTTACCGTTACAGATATTAATATAATCTTCAAAATTAACACTCTTTTCATATCTCATATATCTGATTTTTTTCATTGTTATTCAAGCAACAGACAATTTTATCATTGTTTGGTTTTCCAAAAAAAAAACTATAAATTATATCTTGTAAGTTATTCTTTTACTTGTACTAGCTGTCTATATAAAATTGTTACATAAAAATATCCAAATATTAAGGCACCTGCAATATAGCATCTTCCTAAAATTAATGGGTACAGTATTAGAAAGGCATGTGAATGAACGGCTGTCTCGTGGATGCGGGGATGCATGTCAGCAGCCACCACCGCAATAGCATGTGCCGTATCGTGTGCGGCCAGCAGCATTTGTTTACTTCAGAGCTAAGTTTCGATAGTTTTTTTATACATACATGGAAATTCCTTTTTATCGAAATTCCTGTAGGAGTAGGACATCAAATCCTAGTACTACTACTCGTTAAGATCTTTTATTTATTAAAACCATCTTCCTATCCTCGGCCGAAAGCCAAAAAAGTCCGGGGAACTACGAGGACACCGCTACATGCCGACGGAACGCGGTTAGGAGTCCAAAGCCCCCACCAAGAAACCGCCGCCCGGCCCGGCGGCGCGGCATGGGCAGCAGCGACCACCACGGCGGCGGAGCCGGCGCCGGCGCCTGTAACAAGAGGTCCCGAAAAGCCAGCAGCTTTGCGGACGACGATGACGACGACAAGGGCGAGACGAGCCGCCGCCGCAAGATCTGCGAAGGTACCCCTACCTCCGGCGGCCGCCACGACGGAGAGAGCGGCGACGCTTGCGGAGGGCATGCTCAGGCAGCGCCTCACCGCTCCGGCTCCAGCGCCGGCGAGGAGGATTACATGTGCGAGTACGACGACTGCGACGACGACGACGGCGCTGGCGAGGAGGATTACATCTACGAGTACGACGACGACGGCGGCGAAGGAGAAGGAGCTGAGCAGGCACAGGACGACACCCCTGCGGCGGCGCGCGCCAGGGAGGAGCAGAGGTACGTGGTTCTAACCGAGGAGGACATCCGCGCGCGGCAAGAGGCGGACACGGCCAAGGTCGCCGAGGTGCTGTCGATCCCGCCGGGGTTCGCGGCCGTCCTGCTCCGCCACTTCAAGTGGCGCGTGGAGCGGGTCCAGGAGGAGTGGTTCACGGACGACCGGCGCGTGCGCGGCGCCGTCGGCCTGCCCCCGGAGCTCGTCCCCTCGGCGCGCGGCGCGGGGCCACGCGTCGTTTGCGGCATCTGCTTCGACGAGTACCCGGCCGGGCGGACGGCGTCGGCGGGGTGCGAACACTACTACTGCGACGGGTGCTGGCGCGGGTACGTCCGCGCCGCGGTGGGCGACGGTCCGCGGTGCCTGTCGCTGCGGTGCCCGGACCCGTTCTGCTCGGCGCCCGTCGTCCGGGAGCTCGTGGACGAGGTGCTGTCGGCGGTGGGGGGGAGCGCGGACGACGACGGGGTCCGGTACGCGCGGTTCTGGCTCCGGTCGTACGTGGAGGAGAGCGGGGGGAAGGTGCGGTGGTGCGGCGGCGCCGGGTGCGCCCGCGCCCTGGAGTTCCTCGGCGACGCCGCGGCGGCGGACAAGGACGTGTTCTGCGAGTGCGGGCACGGGGTCTGCTGGGCTTGCGGCGAGGAGGCGCACCGGCCGGTGTCGTGCGGCACGGTGCGCGCGTGGCTGGTGAAGAACAGCTCCGACTCGGCGGAGACGGCCAACTGGGTGGTGGCGCACACCAAGGCGTGCCCCAAGTGCGGGCGGCCCATCGAGAAGAACCAGGGCTGCAACCACATGCGCTGCTCGCCGCCGTGCGGCCACCACTTCTGCTGGCTCTGCCTGCAGCCGGCGGGAGGGGCCGACCACTACGCCTGCAACGACAGCCGCCCGCGGCGCTCCGGCGCCGACGCCGACGACGACATGGCCGCGGCGGCGGCGAGCACCGCCAGCGCGGAGGAGGAGCGGTTGAAGCGGCGGCGCGCCAGGGCGTCGCTGGAGCGGTACCTGTACCACTACGAGCGGTGGGCGTCGAACCGGGCGGCGCTGGAGAGCGTGGCGCGGGACACGGCGGCGCTGGAGCGCGGGGAGCTGGAGCGGATGGCGAGGGCGGCGGACGTCCCGGCCACGGCGCTCGGGTTCGTGTCGGAGGCGTACCGGCAGGTGGCGGACGGGCGGCGCGTCCTGCGGTGGGCGCACGCGTACGGCTACTTCCTGGACCCGGAGCGCGACGCGGCCAAGCGCGCGCTGTTCGACGACCTGCAGAACCAGGCCAACCGCTGGCTCGAGTGCCTCCACGCCGCCGCCGAGCTCGAGAGGAAGGACCTCTTCGGCGACGGCAAGGGCAAGGAGGCGGCCGTTGTTGTTGCGGCCGAGGCGTTCAGGGCGTACAGGCAGAAGGTGGCCAACCTCACCGGAGTGACGCGCAAGTTCTTGGGCAACCTCGTCAGGGCGTTCGAGACCGACCTGCCGGAAGTGGCGGCGGCGGCCAAATCCGGCGATGTAGGTAGCCGTAGGTAGAGGATGTATGTACGGATTCCCTATCTGTGTTCGTGTCGTGTTCCTTTGCATTGATCGGAAGAACCTTGAATTGAATCGGCTGCCCCTGAAGAACTGCTTGTGGTGCATCGCATCCATGTCCATGTAACCGTGTTCCTTGCATCTTGATCAGAAGATCATCGCTGAGCAGAGCCGCTAGCGGCCTAGCGGCGACGCGCTCACAGGGTCACAGACTCAGTCACCACACGGGACGGGCGCACTTTCCTAGAAGCTTCCCCGTAAGAGTACGCTACGAGATGCACGTGGCACGTAGGTGGGCCCCACAATCACATCGTGGATTATTTACCGCTGGCTGATTTTGTACGAGAGAAAAACACTATTTTCGGCTAAAAATTTAATATCGTTTACGAGCGAACGGGCTGCGTCGGTGGCTCTGGTGACCGGTGAGCGGTGACCACTAGAGAGTCCATGCATGCGCATGCCTGCCTAGTCACTGCTGATAGTGATAGGATGTCTCTTTCATGGCATAAAATAAAAGAATGCACATATATCATAGTATTTGATTTAGGTGGTTGACACAAACTAAGTTTGCTTTTTCAATCATTAACTCGCTCGGCCTCAAATTATATGTCATTCAAGAAACTTGGGAGAGTGAAATCATTTTAAGGTTGACTAAATTTATATGATAAAATAATAATACTTATAATATCGCTAAGTATCATTAGATTTTGTATAATTATATTTTCATAGTGTACTTATTTGATGGTATAAATTTTTGTATTTTTCTCTATAATTTTGGTCAAACTTAAGATTTATTAACTTTCCAAGATTCTTCAAATGACTTATAATTTGGAATTGAGGAAGTATTTGCTTTCTTTTCATTCTAAAATAACTATATTTATTTTTTTCAAAAAAGCCATTTTCTAAAATTTGACTACATTTATAAGAATACTATCAATACTTATATCTTATAATAATATATTTATATAGAAATATGTTACATAGTTATTCTAATAATATACGTCATAAATATAAATATATTAATAAGTTTTCTAAATTTTAAAAATGACTTTGAGAAAAATAGTTATTTTGAGACTGAGCGAACAGTGCAGCTCAACTGCTCGTGGATCGGTGCTGCTCAGTGTTTTCGTGATTCGAGGCAGCGGTCCCATGCTGTCAGACTTCCACTGGTGCCAGGTCTCGCCTGCACGTGGCGGATCCAACGTGCACGCGTGTCACTAGAGCGGAGGCAGTGTGGTGTGGGTCTGTGCCGCTGCGTCACTGGCCAAATGGAGGTACGCGCGCTGGAAGATGGACCTTGACCGGGAACCCTCCCGCCATTAAAAGTGTCTTTTTTTCCCTTTTTTTTTAATAACAGGCCAGGGAAAGTGTTTAGGGCTGGGATTCACATGTGGGTCTTTTTTTTTACAATGGCTTTGCTCTATACTCCCTCAATCTCAAAAAGAACGTAACTATCAAATTCGTGTCAGTCAAATATGCTAAAGTTTGACCAAGTTCATAGTGATTAGTATTAACAATTATATCTCAAACAAGATTTATTACGAAAATATATTTCATCATGAATCTATTGATACTTATTTTGTATTATAAATGTTAGTTTTTTTTTTTTGCATAATTTTGGTCAAAGTTAAAATCAATTGACTTCTCGGAAAGCGAGAATTGCATTCTTTTTTAACGGAGGGAGTAGTCTTTTTTTTTACAATATGCTTTGTAGGCTTTGAAGTCTGGATGCCTGTCCTACCGACCACATAATCTGATAAACATTATCCACCATAATTTTTGAAGTTTGATTAAAAATTTCTAAAAGCATCTTCAGCATAGTCTACTAAAAGCTTTACTACTACTAAAACAACTCATTTAGAAGATTTTTGTTTATCAACAAAATTGTACACAATACTCCTTGTGTCCTAAAAAAATGCAATTCTTGTTTCTAAGGAGTTAAATGATTTGAATTTTGACTAAAGTTATAAAATATATAGTCCAACATTTATAATCCAAATTAAGAACCATTAAACTAAATACATAATGTATTTTTATGATAAACTTATTTGGAGATATAAATGTTAATACTATTTATTATAAATTTGGTTAGATTTGAGCTTGTTTGATTGGCATGAATCTTATAATTATATTCTTTTTTGGACAATGTAAGTGCTACTCTTTCTTTGTTTTTACCTTTTTAACATTATACTAAATAAAGACACACATATGACATCCCAGCCATAACACTTTCCCTGGCCCGTTAAGAAAAACACTTTTGTCCCCACATCCTTAAAAAAAACAATGCTCATTTTCTAAAGAGTCAGATGATTTAAATTTCGACTAAAGTTATAAAAAAGTCTAACATTTATAATACAAAACAAGTACCACTAAATTAATTGTAGAATGTATTGTTATAATAAGCTTATTTGGAAACATAACTGATAATACTATTTACTATAAATTTGATTAAATTTGAGCTTATTTGATTGGCACGAATCTTATAATTATATATGTTTTTAACCGTGTGTGTATTACTCTTAACAAAAGGTCTCCGTGACTTTAAGGTGGGTCCTACAACTACTAAAGTGTAGTGTTGTTTGTTTTATAATGTGGGTTGCACTTTTTCTCCAATGCAACACTAATCTCTCACCTTGTTCTCTCTACGTTATTTTCTTCTTTATGAGAAAAATATAATGTGATATAAGCAGGAGATATGCCTGTTCGCTTGGTCATATTCGGCTTATAAGCCATGGCTTATCAGCCAACGAACAATATTTTTCTCTCACACGAAATCAGCTAAGAGTACTTTCAGCCATAGCTTATAAGCCAAACAAACCTAAACGTATAGGGCGATGGGTTGACAGTTGCCACGTCAGATTTGTACATAGTTGGAGAGAGAGGAGTAAAGATATAAACGGATTACAAACTTACCACAACACGAGCTCTAATAAACTTTTACCAGAGAATGGGTGAGTCATCAGTCATGTATTAAAATAATGTAATATGTATCAAGATCTAACTGTATATTGTATAAGCGGAATATTAGATCAGCTTTGGTGATATGACACTAGCATATAGCCCATAACCGACTAAATTAAGCCATGCCCTTAGATCCACTGCTTTAGTGTATAATGCCACCTCTAAACTTTAGCACCTACTCCTACCATTTCATATTATAAGACATTTTTTATTTTCTAGATTCGTAAAATTTGCTGTGCACTTAGATATACATTACATCTAGATACCTACAAAAAAATAAAAATATCTTATAATTTAGAACAGAGGAAGTATAATTTAAGACCTCCACTCAGATCTATACGCCATGGGTGACATTAAAGCTACAAATTCTATTTCTAATATCTTTTAGAACACTACCAATTTTTAGTAACCGATGATATATGTTATAAAATCTTTCTTTTACGAAAAACTTTTGTAAATCTGAAAAAGGCATACTATGCGGTAACCAAAGTATAACTGCAAATACTTTTTTTATATATATAAAACCCTGCTAATATATCATCACACCCTAAAATTTCTGATTTTGGGTTGTGCATAGAAAACACTAATTACAATAAATGTTTTAACATTTGGATCAAATTTCCCAAGATTAGTTATAGAAAAATGTGATTTTCAAATTTCTAAACTAATTTGGCAGGATTTTGCTTGCTGTGATGTTTGCTTGTTGCATGATCTTTGTGTTGCAGATACGCATATGCTAAAACCTATCACAGATTGTCCTCACTGCAGTGCGAAGAAGTTTGAACATGAACCACGTGGGTTCTGTTGTCGCAGTGGAAAGGTCGAGCTTAATGCACCAGACATACCTGATGAGATGATAAGGCTTTGGTCAAGTGCCAATGTAGATGCTAGGCACTTCCGTAACAACATCAGATTTTTCAATGGACATTTCTCTTTCACTTCTTTATACTATCGCCTCGATAGCGCTACTGCAAGCATGAGAAATAGTGGCATATACACCTTCCGTGCACACGGCCAGATCTATCATAACATAAGGTCATTTGGGAAAGAAGATGGTAAGGAGCCAAGACATCTAGAGCTTTACTTCTATGATGACGATCCCAGCCTTAATCACCGATATCGAAGGTGTTGTGAAGAGTAGTGCCAAAAATACAAAGAAGTTATTGAGAGGCTTGTGACCATCCTTCGTGACAACCCACACTCACAGCATCTTAGGAGTATGGGCCAGACTGAACACCTCAAGGACTATCGTATCACATTGAACCTTGACCAGAGACTAGACTAAAGAACATACAACGTGCCATTAGCTTTAGAGGTGGCTGCTATTTGGATCGAGGAAAGCGAACTCCTTGGTCAGTTCCAATATAGTGTTGTCCTAAATGGAAAAGATAGAAGCAGCCATGACATTCGCTCGTATCATGGATGTTATGATGCTCTTTCAAACCCTCTATTCTTTCCTATGGGTGAGCTCGGGTGGCACATGGATATCCCAAAAAAAGGAATTAGTATGGAGGATGTCATCGCGTATCGTGCCCTTCGGAAGGCCTATAGTGGTTCAGAAGAAGAAATAGGTTTGTTATTCTTCTTATTTATTTATTTAATACTTCTTATATACCTCAATGGTTATTCTACAAACAACGCTAGTTTCAGCTTATTTAATTTTTTGTAGACTCCCCTTGATAGGTACTAAAACTATTTCAGTACGGGAGTTGGCCCGATCTTCATGACAGTAGGTCTCAATCAAGATATCTTGCAATAAGGCAGCGGGAAACAAAGGTAACTTGCTGAAGAACAGCGGGGTAACTAGCTTTATACCTGGCCAAGGCTGGATGCGACCAAGCGACGGGAAGAGAGACATCGAAACCACGAAGACTCCGACTCGATCTCCGAATGACCGCAGAACCACAACCAGAGCTAATCCACACAAGGCGGGGTAGCCGTCATGCGAACCCGCAAAGCACGAACTAGTGGATCCCGGAGAAATCTCTTCACAAGTCCGGAAGAACAAGGAAGAACAAGGGTTTGAGTAAGCACTTTCG